CTCTTGATTTAGTATCTCCTATTTAATTCATCTAATCTTTCTTCAAATACCCACCACCACCACTGAGCCTCAACCCTGGCCAGGAAGGATCCCTTTTTTAGGATGGGATTGAAAGTTAGTCTCTGTGGGCCTGACTTTCAGAAATGCTGCTTCTAGTGAAGTCAAGTAGAGGTAGAGTTGTGAGTACTCAGCACCTCTGAAAGTCATTCCCCATGCTAATGCAACCCTTGGCTCCAGGGCCGGATTAACTCTCCTGTGGGCCTGGGGCTATTAGATTTTGTGGGGCCTCTGTATACAAGTCTTTTTCCTAATTTAAAACAAAATTATCACAATTATGGCATCGAGGCTATTAATGCTATACTAAACTTGCCTTTTAATTAACATAAAGCCTTTCTGTGGTTACATTTCAGTTTTAAAACATGTAGAATATAGTGAAGTTAATTCAAAATAGCCTACTTCTTACCTTAGAACAGCTGTTATCTTAGCTTTTTCTGGGAGGGAATTTGGGTGCAGGAGGGGGCTCCAGGCTGGGGCAGAGTGTTAGGGTGCAGGAGAGCGTGAGAGGTGCCGGCTCTGGGAGGGAGTTTGGTGTAGGAGGGGATTCTGACCTGGGGCAGGGGGTTGAGGTGCAGGAGGAGGTGTGGGGTCTGGGAGGGAGTTTGGGTGCAGGAAGGGATTGTGACCTGGGGCAGAGGGTTGGGGTGCAGGAGGGGGTGTGAGATGCAGGCTCTGGCCGGGAGACACTTACCACAGGTGGCTCCTGGCTGGTGGTGCAGAAGGGCTCAGGCAGGCTGCCTACCTGCATGCCGTTGTCCCCCACTGCTCCTGGAAGTGGGTGTGCCCCTGGAGGGAGGGGGACAGCGTGTTTCCGTGCGCTGCATGCTCCTGCAAGCACCGCCCCCGCAGCTCCCATTAGCCAGTTCCCAGCCAATGGGAGCTGCAGGGACAGTGCGGGGGGTGGGGACAGTGCACGGAGCCACCTCTTCCCTCCCCTCCGCACCAGGGGCCGCAGAGACGTGCCAGCAGCCGGCCACTTCTGGGAATGGCGTGGGGCCACAGCATGCAGGCAGCCTGCCTGAGCCCTGCCTGGGGCCGTGGGCTACAGCCCCTAAACCCCCTGCATTAATCTGGCCCTGCTTGGCTCCCCAGCTGAGAGTCAATCAGGGGGACAATTTGTAGCTGTGATTTTTATGACATGGATACCTCTATAGACCCCTCCTCCCCCTGCAAGCCATATCACATAGGCCTAAGAATCACTGGATGGTAAATTTCAGTTTTAAGAAAATCTAGTTAATTCAGAATCATTTATGAAATGCAGAAAATCTTTTTGAGGTTTTTTCAGCATCAGGGTTTTTGTAATACATATATCTTACTACACCTTTACAGTGTTGCTGAAGCCATGTTAGGTCCCAGGATATGAGAGAGGCAAGCTGGGTGAGGTGATATCTTTTATTGGACCGACTCTGTTGGTGAAAGAGACAAGCTTTCAGGCTACACAGAGTTCTTGAAGAAGAGCATCCACTTTCTCTCTAAAACTTTACAGACAATAAAAGAGCCAATAAACTATTTACATAATACACGGGATATAAAATCCTCCTCTGATTAATTAGAGCTAAGTACGATCCCTTTGTTCTTGAAATTCTTTTATTCATGCCACATGGTAGCCTCACTGATATAGCCAAACAAGAACTCTCCTCCCACTTACCCCCTATAATTTTTCACTTGGAAATGTTTTCTCTTGTTGCACTTTGATTCCATGTAATTCTACAACACTTTTAGGCCAAAGTCCATGACTCAAGTGAACCAATTCCTTGGCAGGAGATACAACTCACTAATACATTCTTGGCTTAGACTAACAGGGTCCATGTAGCCCTCTGCAGTTCCACATCTCTAATTCCAGAAGCTGCTAGGGAATGAAGAGGATCCATGAGTCTAAGCCAAGGCTCTCTACAGCTCCGCAAACCCCAAAGGCTGGTTAAAGGTAGTCTTTTCCAAAATAATGATGGATTTCACAATGATAATTATATTATCATTACAATTCTCCCAATAGCAGAACCTTGTGGCATCTTGGATGGTGGGGAAAGAGCAATATGTGTTATCCCACCTACTTGAATTGCCAGAGTTTGAAATGCAGTCACTAAACCAAGCCTTATGAAAGGCTCCAAGTCCCATAAACTGGCTCTCAAAGGACAAAAAACTCCCCACAAAAACCATGGAATAGATCGACCCCAACCACCTGTTTTGTGGCACCGATTGGGAAAAAACAAGTTTCTCTTTGTAGCATACACTCTCTTACAGACATGGATAGCAATTTAAAAAGTTTAGTTTTGATGTATAGTGCTTTGCAGAGGTGATATGGGAGGCAGTGCAGTCCAGTGGACAGGACACTAGACTGGAAGTCAGGAGATTTGTGGTTTGTAGTTGCTCTGCCACTGACTTGCCATGTGACCTCTAGCAAGTCACTTTGCCTCTCTGTTAAATGGGGGATGATACTTGCCCTTCTTTGTAAACCCCCTTAAGATCTATAGATAGAAACAGCTATAGGATTCAAATATGAGCTGGGAAATCAGTTTGAGAGCCATCCCTTTTTCAGTCAGCTTGGTCTAAATCTGTTGTTACCAAGCAACTTTAGCTTGAAAGCACTGTTCCAAGTTTGACAACTCCACAGACAAACACTGTGTCACAAAGAATCATAATACGGAACAGAACTGTGCAAATCGAGCAGGATCTACCAGAAGGTGTCAGGTGAGCAGCTAGCCAGCATGTGCAGTGATGCCAGGAACAAGGAAGAAGATGGGTGTGGAGGAAGATCAAGCTGGACTGGTAGTGGGGAACCAGAGCAAGGCGAAAAGAGATGGATAACTCAAGGGGAAGGATGGGGATGAAAGAGGAGGCAGCAAAGCCATGGACCTCTGGATGAGGCTGACTTTGTAGCTAGTTAACAGCCGGAAGGGGTCCATGTTGCACTAGGTTTCAATATGCTGTCTCCATAATACTCCAGTCCCTACACGTTCCATAGAACAATGCCAGTCAAATCAGGGAGTGAGCACCAGCTTGGGAATCAAACCCAGTTCTTTTCCCAAATGGTAATAAGGAGTAGTGAGGAAGTGTAAAGAGGGTGTGGTGAGAGTGGAGTCTTCCTCTTGTACTATGACATGTAAGCAAATGTCTCTTGAGTAAAGATCTATCCCTCTGGAAATCTCAGACACTGAACCCTTCATTACCACTGTCCCTTACTGGGTAAAATAAAAACTGGTCCATTATGTGTCAAGAACCCACTACTGCAATCAGCTAAGAAGATTCTTTGTTAGCTCAAATTTTGGATTTTAATCTCTTTGGCGCGAGGATCATGCCTGCCTTTGTGTTTGCCAAGCCTAACAGGGCTCTCTGATTATAACCCTAGCCTCTCGGTACTACTGTAACATTTTAAATAAGAATAATCCAGGTCCTTTGCTGATGTAAATTGGCATAGCTCCGGGTGCAGTGAGTGGCAAGGGCCTATGCTTTTGCAGAAGCAGGAGGAAGATGTCTGAGTGGAGCTGTTTCCATGATTTTCTGAGTGCAATATAGAAATGACAAGCCGGCCAAAGATTTGCTGCAAAGTGCTCTGTTTTAGCACACTTATTACACAGATGTGGGAAACAGGTTTATCTGTTAAACGATATATGGGAAAACAGCTACCGTAAAAACAGAACCTATTAGGGGGCTGTCTGTCTCAGGAGACAGGTAGTTGAATACAGAGCCTTTCAACCTCAGAGCAAGGTTCAATCCAACCCTTGTCAGCAATGATTGAAAATCATGTTGTGGCTGTTCAGTGACCTATCAGCCATGAGTTTGGAGGCCTCAGTGTAGTTCTTAGTAGAAGAATGTTCTCATCACAAAACCCACCATTGCAATTAGCACCAAAGTATGAAAAAAGCAAGGGTGAGTAAACTGCTCTCTTTTTACTTCTATGGCTAAAGGGGGTCCCTTTGGATCAGTCATGAGGCACAAAGCTCCTACTGCCACTGCTGCATCTGGCTGGTGAATAAACAGAGGATGTCAAGTTCAAGGGCTGTCATATGGTATTAGTAGTAACATACAGACACAAAATTAAAGGGAAAAATTGCTATTGTTTATTTTTGTATAGTGCCCCAAAGCGTGTTTGGCACCTACAAAAGAGGATGCAATCCCTGATCCAGAAAGCTTTCAAACTAGTTAGACATGATGCAAGGAAGAGGAGTGCCACTAACAAAGCAGCAGGGAGGGGCTAGCAAAGGAAGGACAGGGCAGACATTCAGGAGAAGGTGTAGTTGTTTGGCAAAGGTTATTAATACTCAGATGGTGCCGCAAAGGAGGTTACATATTAAAAAAAAAAACCCACCCTCCAAGAAATGTCATTTGTAAAACTAAATCAATGTCACAAGCTCATTTCTTGTAGGTGCAGGGCCGGCTCCAGGCACCAGCCGACCAAGCACGTACTTGGGGCGGCACTTTGTAAGGGGCAGCCAATCTTGGGGTGGCGGGGGGAGCTTGGAGTTTTGTTGTTGTTGTTTTGGTTTCGGCTGGGCGGCGCTCGGGGGGGGGTTGGTTGTGTGTCGGCGGGGGGGGGCGGGGCGGGGGGGGGTGGTTGCGGGGGGGGGGGGGGGGTGTTTCGGCGGGGCGGCAAAAAAGTTAAAGCCGGCCCTGTGTAGGTGTCATGGCAAGAGGGGGCGGGATTTGAAGGAGGAAGGGGTAGTAGTCTTGTGGACCAGGTCAGAATGGGTGTTCCTCATGGAAGGCATGAAAAAAAAAACACACAGACCACAAGTGTGGTGTCGCTGACCGAGCAAGGATCACATGGCATCACCATCAACATTCAAACAGTGACAATCTGAAAACGAAGGAGAGGAGCAATGCACAGAGGGGCCAGACTCTGTTTGCACACTAGGATGTTTTGGGGAAGGGCGGACAGCACATCCCTTGGCCCGCGCCGCTTCCCGCAGCCCCCATTGGCCTGGAGTGGCAAACCACGGCCAGTGGGAGCCGCGATCGGCCGAACCTGTGGACGCAGCAGGTAAACAAACCAGCCTGGCACACCAGGGGCTTTCCCTGAAGAAGCGGCGGACCGGCTTTGAGAACCACTGCTCTACACCTCGTCTCTCTCAGATTTTTGGACGGCACTTCAGATTCTTAAACCATGGGTCGAGTGCTGTAGCTATTTTTAGAAATCTCACATTGGCACCTTGTTTGCGTTTTGTCAAATCTGCTGTGAAAGTGTTCTTAAAACGAACATGTGCCGGGTCATCATCCGAGACTGCTATAACATGAAATATATGGCAGAATGCAATTAAAACAAAATAGGAGACATACAATTCTCCCTCAAGGAGTTCAGTCACAAATTTAATTAATGTATTATTATTTTTAACGAGCATCATCAGCATGGAAGCATGTCCTCTGGAATGGTGGCCGAAGCATGAAGGGGCATACAAATGTTTAGCATATCTGGCATGTAAATACCTTGCAATGCCAGCTACAAAAGTGCCATGCGGACGCCTGTTCTCACTTTCAGGTGACGTTGTAAATAAGAAGCAGGTAGCAGTATCGCCTGTAAATGTAAACAAACTTGTTTGTCTTAGCAATTGGCTGAACAAAAAGTAGGACTGAGTGGCTCTAAAGCTTGACATTGTTTTGTTTTTAAGTGCAGTTATGTAATAAAAAAATTTACATTTGTAAGTTACATTTTCACGATAAAGAGATTGCACTACAGTACTTGTATAAGGTGAACTGAAAAATACTATTTCTTTAATCATTTTTACATTTTATTATTTTTGATTACAAAAATAATAATATAAAGTGAGCACTGTACACTTTGTATTCTGTGTTGTAATAGAAATCAATATATCTGAAAATGTAGAAAAACATCCAAAATATTTAATACATTTCAATTGGTATTCTATTGTTTAACAGTGCGATTAATCGCAATTAAATTTTTTAATCACAATTAATTTTTTTGAGTTAATCGCAAGTTAACTGCGATTAATATACAGCCCTAATATAGATATAAATTGAACACAATGTTTTATTGATATATTTACAATTTTTATGCTGACAGCAGGAGCCCTGCCGCCTGGGGCAGACAGCCAGAGCCCTGCCCATTCTCCTGCTTATCAGAAATTTTTATTATCCGATCCGGCCCCAGTCCCAATTAGATCAGATAATAATCTGTACTGTACAATTTTTTTTTCACACAATGTAAAAACTAAAGATTCTCTGTAAAAACACAAATTCTGCATTTTTCCACGTTTTTCCATGGCAAACGGCTTTCTAGGCTCCCTGGTGATGAGACTGACTCTATCAAATTGCATCATGCAGAAAATTCTGTGGGGTGCCAGGAAAGGGGCACAAACATGTCAGTCAATAAATCAGAAGGCTTCCACACCCTACCCAACCATCCTCTTGCATCTCAGCAAGGGCAGCTCTCCTTCTCACTGTGGATGGTTT